TCGGAAAAAATTAGATGCATGGAAATAGAAAAATACTTTAATTTTTTCATACTTTAAATACAGTCATTCTCAATCACTTTTCGTAATTAGCCTCTTTCAAATTTTTTGAATGACTTACACTCTTTTGAGTTCTTAAATAAGATTCATGCTTTCGGAGTAGAAAATCATGAAGAAGTCTTTAAATAAATAAATGTTTTAAAAGTTTGATATATAAAAATTATACGAGTAATGTAGTTTATAAAGAAGTCTTTCGTTATTTGTAACATAATTAACTATTGTACCTTAAAATAATAAAATCTTTATATTCTACTCCCTCCGTCCCGAAATAAGTTCCCTTATTGACTTTTTGGAAAATTAAGGGAGGGATATTTTAGTGTTGACTTTCCAAAAATACCATTGATGTGATTGATAAAAGTAAAATGTGGTAAATAGATTATTAGTAAAAAGGTATAATGTGATAAATAGGTAGTTTTTTAATAGAAAAAGGGAGTTTGTGGGACAAAGAAAAAATGAAAGGGGAAGATGTTTCAGGGACTGAGGGAGTATTAGATAAGAAATTGTATCTTTCAAAAATGATCTTAATTTAGTAATATAAGTATGATCCGTGCAATGCACGGGAGTGATGCTAGTATAGTAGTAAAACAACTAAATAATAATAATAATAATAAGCATAATAATAAGCATAATAATAATAATAATAATAATAATGATAATAAGAATAAGAATAAGAATAAGAATAATAATAATAATAATAATAAATAATAATAATAATAATAATAATAATAATAATACTAATAATAATAATAATAATAATAATATAATAGTAATAGAGGGTATATTTTATAAATTAGAGGTACCTGGCAGTTCTGCTTATTCTTATTATTATTACTAGCATCACTCCCGTGCGTTGCACGGGTCATACTTATATTACTAAATTAAGATCATTTTTAAAGGATACCGGAGTACAATTTCTTATCTAATACTCCCTCCGTCCCTGAAACATCTTCCCCTTTCATTTTTTTTGTCCCACAAACTCCTTCTTTTTTCTATTAAAAAAACTACTTTTACCCCTTACTTTTTCATATTTTACCTATCACATTATACTTTTTTACTAATAATCTATCTATCACATCTTAGTTTTCTCAATCACATCAAGCGTATTTTTGGAAAGTCAACACCAAAATATTCCTCCCTTAATTTTCCAAAAAGTCAATAAGGGAACTTCTTTCGGGACGGAGGGAGTAGAATATAAAGATTTTATTATTTTAAGGTACAAAAGTTAATTGTTTTACAAATAACGAAAGACTTCTTTATAAACAACATTACTCGTATAATTTTTATATATCATACTTTAAAACATTTATTTATTTAAAGACTTCTTCATGATTTTCTACTCTGAAAGCATGAATCTTATTTAAGAACTCAAGAGAGTGTAAGTCATTCAAAAAATTTGAAAGACGCTAATTACGAAAAGTGATTGAGAATGACTATATTGAAGGTATGAAAAAATTAAAGTAATTTTCTATTTCCATGCATCTAATTTTTTACGGGTAAGTTATTAATTAGTGGTTGATTGTTCAACATATAAAGGTATATATATTATTCAATACGTTTCCATGTATTAAAGGCACACCTCTTAAAACAATATCTCCATAAAACGTTTGGGCCTGAATCTCTAAATGGAAACATTATTAAATTGAAAGCTTATTTGGTTAAAATTATTACACGATATAATAACTAAGTACGATAATATTATTACAGAGTATATTATTATTATTATTATTATTATTATTATTATTCTTTCACGACAATAAATTAATAATGATTAAATACATTAATATTATTGCACGGTATATTAGTATTATTATTTTTTCTACACTGTAATACATGATTTATTCTTGCTACAAAGTAATTTATGATTTAATTATTATTTCTATATTCAACACTTAACATATGTGCCACCATTCCTATGTATTACTTTGACATTTTTTTATATTTAATTTCTTTTATTATTTTTTATTTTGATATTTTTAATTGTGCCTTCCTTAAAAGCATAAACTTATATATTTAAATTTCTTCATAAAATATTTGGCACCGAATCTCTAAATGGAAACATAATTAAATTTAAAGCTTATTTTCTTAACATAATCACACCGTAATAAATTAATAATGATTAAATATGGTAATATTAAGTTTGGCCATGTTCTCTAAATGGAAACATTTTTAAATTGAAAGCTTCTTAGATTAGAATTATTAGACGATAATAATGACTAAGTACAGTAATTTTATTACACAATATATTATTATCATTCTTATTAGATGGTAATAAATTAATAATGATTAAATATGGCAATATTGTTACACGATCGATATATTAATATTATTATTCTTGTTACACGGTAATACATGATCTATTCTTATTACACGGTGATTTATAATTTAATTATCATTTATTTATTCAACACTTACTATATGTACCACCATTTATATGTATTAGTTTGACATTTCTTTTAGATTTGATTTCTTTCTGAAAAGGAAACAAATGGTTGGTATGATTAAAATGGTTTGTTTCTTAATTGGAAATTATATAAATTACGAAACTGTAAATTTAATGCATTGATTAAAAAATGTACACCTTAACGTGATTATTACCTTTTATGGACAAATCTTATTTTTAGTTGAATGGTAATCATTTTTTATTATATCAATTCCAATTTTATAAAAAAGTTCGGTATTAGAAAAGAAGTTTATATAAATAATATTTTTTATATTTTGTTTCCTTCTTAGATATATATTAGGCATGCGAAATTTCCTTTAATTTATCATTCTAAATAAGAATAGAGTAATTAAGTAATTATGCATGCGAAATTATTCTAAAAAGGAAACAACGTAGATCTTGTTTGCAAAATTAGTCCCTTCCTTTTTTATCAGAATTAAGTAATTATGCATGCAAAATTTCGTTTAATTTATCATTTTATTATTCTTAAAAGTATTTCCTTTTAAGAATAAAGTGATTAAGTAAATAATTACCTATTTAATTAGGCATATATAATTACTTTTTGATAAAATAATCGGGTGTAAATTATTCCAAGTAATTATAATAATAGTAATAATTAGGCGTAAATAATTATCTATTTAAAAAGGAAACAAAATATAAAAAATTTCCTACACCGTCCCTTCCTTTTTTATCACAATCAAGTAATTAGGAGAAATTGGTTAGAAAACAAATTACTTCCTTCCCTTTTTATCAGAATAGAGTGATTATGCATGTAAAATTTCCTTTAATTTATCATTCTAAATAGGTAATATTACACAATCAATCATAGCCGTAGATCTTATTTGTTCCTTGATATCGACGGTGCAGGAGATGAATGCATTGAGCTAGAAAATAATCCCCTGCTTTTAAGAATAGAGTGATGATAATATTACACAACCAATCATAGCCGTAGATCTTATTTGTTCCTTGATATCGACGGTGCAGGAGATGAGTGCATTGAGCGGGAAAATAATTCCCCTGCTTTTAAGAATAGAGTGATTGTTATGCTTATTCTTATTATTATTATTTAGTTGTTTTACTACTATATTTTTAACAAAAAAATACTAAAGCTAACACCAAAAAATTGGATACTCCATTAATCTTTCACAATCTCTATTAATGTAAAAAAACAAAAAATTATTGTTTGGAACCCTTAATTTTGTGCTTAGAACTGTCGGGCACCTTCAATTTTATAGTGAAACTATTAATTAATTTTTAATAATAATAATAATAAATAATAATAATAGAACAAGAAGAAAATATTACTTCATAATAATAATAAATAGTAGAGGTAGAAGAAAATTATACTTCGTAATAAATAAATAATAATAATTAGTTTTAATATTAAAAAATTATTAATTTAAATTTTAAATATTAACAATAGTAATTTAGAAGAAGAAAATAATACTGTGTAATAAATAATAATAATACGTAGTAATAATATAATAAGAATGATGGTTTTTTGTTAATAAAAAAGAATGATGATGATGATAATAATAATAACAATAACAATAACAATAACAATAACAACAACAACAACAACAACAACAATAATAATAACAATAATAATAATAATAATAATAATAATAATAACAACAACAACAACAAGAATAATAATAATAATAATAATAATAATAATAATAATAATAATAATAATAATAATAATAGAAGGAGAAGAAGAAGAAATAAAAGGTGAGGGGTGGGGGTAAGGAAGATTGGAAGTGGGTGGAGGAGAAGAAAAAGAAGAAAGAAAAAGAAAGAGAAAAAGAAGAAGAGAGGAGGAAGAGCGAAAGATGGGTGATGGTGGTGGTGGTGGTGATGATGATGAATTTGGGTTATTTGACGGATGAAATGGGGTAGTCGGAGAAAGTGATGGAAAGTATCCTCTTCGTAAGTTTTTTTAAAATTTAGGGTATCTGAGAGTATATTTTGAAAATTATAGGTATCTGGCAGTTTTTACCACAAAATATGAAGTACCTTGTAGCAGTTTTTTGTAATAAAAAGACTAATTTTGGTCCACCCCTTCAACATGCTCCCTTTGTTCTATAATTGAGTACAAAATGCACAAAACAAAGAAAAATTCAAAACTGTTTTAAAATTATTCTATTTAAAGATTCATACTGAAAAAAATAATTGCATTTTTAAAAAGTATATCAAATATTCTACAAAGTAATGCATGAATCGAATATTTTATTTTAATAAATATATATAATAAAAATGTACGTATTGTAAGCAATTGCAATTTAATAAAAGCTATCTAAATTTTAGAATAGGTCACAATGTAAGCAATCATGAGGGAGTATATATCCATGTTCTTCTAAATAAAATATGTGAAAGGCTAACAATTAAGGCATGCAAATTAAACTTAAACAAGATTAATCCAAATAAACAAAGGACAACCACATGTCTTGAAATAAACAAACTAGTTAAATATCCAACAGATGTGTTCATGCATGAACCAATTAATATTAAGCAGTCATTATTGCATTACGGCTGCTACACGTACTAGAAGCAAGGTACTCGATCAGTCATACCCCGATAAGTTCAAGATCCAAATTAAAAAAAATAGAAAACATAAAGTTCACAGCCATGCATGATAATTAACATAGTAGAAGTTGGGTCAGATTGCCCCCTGCATACTATATATAGAATTAATAGAAAGTAGTAGGAGGGTTAATTATTAATGGATGTTCCACTTGTTGGCAAGTGCGATGCATATCTGGTAAAGTGCAATCTGAGTGTTCACCTGGTATTGTGAAACTGCAAACACAAATTAACCCAAAAAATATCATTACACAAAGGTTGCCTATATTTGTAGTAGTACGTAGGGCTGGGTTGGAAAAATTGAAAACTCCAAATTGAACCGGAACCGATCGAAACGATCTAGAAAAAAAATTAAACCGAAAAAACTGAAACCAAATGTAAAAAATCCAAACCGAACCGTTATTGTTCGGTTTCCAGTTTTGGTTTTTGCTTTGGAAAACCGAACCAAACCAAATAAACCTAAATTTCTTAGGTACTTCACTTTAATTTATTTATATGAGTATATATTATATGTAAAAAATCTTAGAAATATAAATGCAAATAATTGACTAGTCGATTATAAGTTATTTTCTTAACTATTAATTAAACATTTTAAATCATATTATAAAAATTAAAAAACCTTAGAATATAAACACCAATAACTAATCCTAATTTCTAATACAGAATTATATTAACATTAAAAATTGATATGAGTAATTTTCACATATTTACGTAAAAACATTGACGTATAATGGAAATGAAATTATTATACGGAGTACAAAAAAATGCAAATTCTCCGTAATTGATATTTACATACGATATCTTTGGGAATATTTGGAATCTCCTACATGTTTGTTGAGCACTCGACACATTTTTTTTATGTAAAATTGAATCGAACAGAACACTACCTCTCCATTCAATTTTGGTTTTGCGTAAAAATCAAACTAAAAAACCAAACTCAACCCTACATATTGCTTCATCGAGTTAGTATTTTTATAATTTTTAATGCTTATAAATTTTTACTTTTATAAATTGAAAAAACTGAAAAAAATCAAAATAAAAACCGCATAAACCTAACCGAATAACCAACAATTTATATATTTTTTTATGCAAAACCAAACCCAATAACCATTTACTTTCCGTTTTGTTTTTAGTTTTGTATAAAAACCGAACCCTCAAAATCGAACCCACCCCTACTAATATAGTAATAGGGAGTACTCCCTCCGTTCTCAAAAACACTTCCTCTTTCATTTTTTTCACTTCCAACAAAACACTTCTCTTTTCTATTAAAAAATCACTTTTACCCTTACTTTTTCATACTCTACCTATCACATCATACTTTTTCTCTAATAATCTATCCATCACATCTTACTTTTACCCATTACATCAGGGGCAAAATTGGAAATCAACTATAATTTAACACTTCCTTATTTTTGCCCCAAATCCAAATGGGAAGTGTTTTTCCAAACGAAGGGAGTATTAGGTAAGAGAATGAAGACTTTACAATATACAGAGTCGAGTTAAAGTGCGCGCACCTTTCACTTTCTCTTCAATATACCCACCCACATCGCCAATAGCAAATTGTCCAACCTAAAAATAATTTTACATTCATAATTACGAACTACAATATACAGTGTAGATTACAACCGGCAAACACACACAAGAATTGCATTTAAGTAGTTCAAAACTAAACGGTCTTTTCATCTTAATAACTATCCATAGTTTTTTTAAGGAGAGATGAACAAAGTTAGAAGTTTATTAAATTACCCTTAACGAAAGTGTGTGGAGCATACCAAAAGAGACAAGTGTGGTGTAGTAATTAAAGAAGGATAAATATTTTAGGGAGAGTGGGAGGACTAATATAAATAGCACCATATGCATTTTTTCTTCAATGTAGCATTTTTAGTTATTATTCATTAGTCATTATTCAAGTAAATGTTTGCCATCACAGGTCATTATTCCTCTTTCAAGACATTATTAAGTACTAATTAGTAAATAAAATAATTTAAGAGCTATATAAAGAAATAACTTAAATTTTAGTGCTATTTTATACTCTTTCCGTTCCATAAAACTCATCCCCTTTCATTTTTTTTCAAATTCCCTAAAACACTTCCACTTTCTATTAAAAAACCACTTTTACCTCTACTTTTTCATACCCTACCTAGCATATCATACTTTTTCAGTAATAATCAAACTATCAAATCTTACTTTTACCCATCACATCAGGAGTAAAATTGAAAAGTCAACCAAAATTATACTCCCTCCGTCCCTAAATAAAGTTCTTCTTTCGTTTTTTCTTTGTCCCTAAATAAACTTCTCTTTTCCCTTAAAAAACCCCTTTTACCCCTTACTTTTTCATACCATACCTATCACATCATACATTTTTACTAATAATCTACCTATCACATCTTACTTTTACACATCACATCAAGGGTATTTTTGGAAAGTCAACACAAAAATATCCCTCCCTTAAATCCTCAAAAAGTCAAAAATGGAACTTTATTTAGGGACGGAGGGAGTACTTTCTTTATTTTAGCCCAAAATTAAAATGGGAATGGTTTTAAGTAACGGAGGTAGTACAAATATTTCTATATACATAGCCGATAGAATGGAAGTTTCACTAGGTAAAGTGGAGTAATTATAATTACCACATAAACATAGTTGTTATTGTCCAGCATCCCAGAAATGTGTTCATCAAAGCTGCGAAGACCATTATCCTCTCCAGAAACACAACCTACTTGACATGAAAAACAAAATCATCATCATCAACGATATATGCCAGCTGATCAAATAAGGTTTAATTTAATTCCCGGGCCCTAACATTATTTATAAGAAGTCGAAGGAATAATTTAATCGTATGTACGTACGAGGTTGTAATTAATAAAGCTAGTGGAGACCATGTATGCATGCATAAATTCAAAAAATTCAAATCGACGAGGTTAAATTATACTATTCGAGTAGGTATATACTCCCTTCTTCCCGGCCACTCTGATAGATTATCTCATTTATTCTTAATATTTGTTTTTTTTATTTCTTTTTTTGATATTTAAAATATCACAACTATGCTAGTTACTTATTACACTCTAACCACTTCATTTAATACACTCCATCCATTTTATTATAAAGGGTATTTTCGTAAACTTTTCCATTTTTTTTTTCAATTCTTCTTGAAAACCACAAAAATTTCAAAACTAGAAGATCAGCTGGTTATGCGACGTGAGCAGCATGGTCGTCTTGAAGGGCAGCGATGACATTGTTAATGTCGGTGACTCGAGTCCAAACAGCGGTGTTTGTGGCGGGGTCAACCCACTGACCGTCACGGAAGAGCCGTTCAAGGAAGCGCTCAAAGGCGGCCGGTGTGACCCCTTCAATGAAAGAAGAGCGTGCCGCATCCACTTGGAACCATAATCCCTCGTCACGAGGGAAATGAACATAGATCATGGACACTCTCCCTGCCTTATTCATAGGGCTCCCTATAATGGCATCCATCACCTGCATGCACACAATCACAATATATATATATTTATACATATAAGCTCTTAGCTTGCATGTTATTATAGTATGTATTATTGCACGGGCAAAGTTTGGAAGTGTAAGGGTTACTCACAGGTTGGTAGGTAGCAGCAATGTTATCAAGTCGACTTGGAAGTAATGGCGTCAGCTGTTAATAATCAATTAATAACAAAAAAAACAGGAAGCAATAACAATTGATTATTAAGTAGGCACTCCGTAGGATATAGTGGTTGCTGATCAGATCTTATCACACATTATTAGTGTCATGTATGAATGAGTTAAGATAAGTATGTTTTTTTTTTTTTTTAAAAAAAAAAAACTGTACACGAGGAAAAAGTGTTAGCACATATAGCTAGCTAGCATGCTCACCCCAACAAAATGATCATCACGTTGGAATGGGACAATGTCCACAATGAAGCTCACAGGGCGAGGTAGTTGTGTGGGTTCTTCTACTTGCGCCACATTTTCCTCACCAACGTTTGGATTTTCAGCCTCCATCCTCTCTTTTTTTTTTTCCGCTAGATAGCTGCGCTATTAAAAACTTCAAGGGATGGATCGAATAGAGTGGTTGGGAGATTTTCAATATGTGGGAAGTAATGTATATAGAAATATTTGCAGAGGATGATGGTTGGCGAGAGTAAAGTAAAGAAGCTAATTGGTTAATTATTAAAAGCACTTGATGCTAGCCAGCCTGTTTAATTCATTCATCCATCAGTTGGCTTGGCTTGGCTTGGGTGAAGGTCAAAAGATTGATCTGCAATGTGATTGATTGATTTGTACGTATGAGAAGTAATTTTAGGGCGCGGAGTCCCAATAAGGATGATCGAGGCGATCGAGTAGCTAGGTTTCCTTAAACAAGCAGGTGGTGAAAAGTTAACGTACATGGCCGGGCAATCATAATGCACCATTTGAGGAAAATACATCTACGTCCATGTTCTGCCCGCTAGCTGGTCCCCTTCACTTCGATCACTTCCCCGGCCAGGAAATCAATGACTCTATGCAGAATATAATGAGGTCATGACTTAAAAGATTACTGCATCAATTCATCCATATTACTCTCTCCGTCCCAAATTATAATGTCTGTTTACTATTCACAGGGTCAAACTTCATTCACTTTCTTTCTCTATTTTCGTTAGCAATTTGATAAAATAAAATATTATTATCACTACTAGTTTTGTAGATCTTTTGATGTAGTTTTTTAATATGTAATTTTTATTTTTTAATTCTATATCATTTGTCATATAAAATGGTTTGAAAATAATTTCAGTCAAACATCGTAAACCGAAACAGGCGTTATAAAATGGGACGGAGGTAGTATATCATATACTCCCTCTCTCCCACAAAACTCTTGATCTTTCTTTTTTCATCCTTTACAGAAAGCAATTCTCTTTTTTTTATTACTCCCTCCGTCCACAAATAAACTTTACATTACGCGTTACGATGTTTGACTGAAGTTATTTTCAAATTATTTTATATGAAAAATGTTGTAAAATTGAAAAATAAAAATTACATATTAAAAAACTATATCAAAAGATCTACAAAACTAGAGATGACATGACTATATTATTTTATCAAATGGGTGACGAAAATAGGCCAACAAAGTGAATAAAGTTTGACCCTGTGAATAGTAAACGTAAAGTTTATTTGTGGACGGAGGGAGTATTAAATAGTCACTTTTACCCCTATTACTCCCTCCGTCCCATAAAGTGTTACCCATTTTGACTAAAGTTGAAATTAAGCGAGAGATAATTTTGTGTTGACTTTCCAAAAATACCTTTGATGTGATGAGTAAAAGTAGGATGTGATGTGTAGATTATTAGGAAAAAGGTATGATGTGATAGGTAGGGTTTGAAAAAGTAAGGGGTAAAAGTGGTTTTTTAATAGAAACGAGTAAGAGATTGTGGGACACAATTTTTTTAAAACGTGTAAATCTTTTTGGGACGGAGGGAGTATTTCTTAACCTACATATCACATCACATTTTTTCTCTATTAATCTACCCATCACATCCTACTTTATCCATCACATCAAAGAGTAATTTTCAAAAATCAACACCAAAATACACTTCCTTAAATCCTTTAAAAGTCAAAATGGAAAGTTTTTTAAGGGACGGAGGCCGGGAGTGTGTGTATGTGTGTGTGTGTCTATACACACACATATGTATGTATGTATGTATGTATGTACTCCATATATGCTAAGAGATCGATATATAGATAGATCATTCTGTTGGACTAAGTGAATTGTGCACCTCTAGTAGGAATTTCCTCTAGACCATTATCTTTCTTGAATGCACTCGAATTCTCTTTTCTCTTCTCAAGATAGTGGGTTACCCAGTAACACCCAAATTGCGTAACCCGAATCAATGAATTAGTGATCGGCGATATTATTAAATTGGTATTCACATATAATATTTTTCAAGTGAATTAAAATTATTGAATTTAGAAATCCAGACATTACAAAATAATTCAAACATTGATCGGAGTCAATTCAAATAGTGTAGAAGCTAAACTGTCATTTACAAAAAATCATCTTGACTTTATTAATAGAAAATCATCAAAGTAGTTATTTATTCTAGTCCAGCATTCGTATATCTCCTTCGTCTCACCGCTCTCCGGGAATAAACTCAGCAAACGTTATTTCATGTAATTTCAAGTTCGTTCGTCATGCAACGAAGATCTGACTCTACTTCTAAAAGTTATCCTCACGAAACTACTTCTGCCAGTTCAATTCCAAACTGCTTCTCGTTACCGATGATCAGCTTGCGAGAGGATATAAGGAATAATAGATATTATGAAATATAATATTATTATTTAATTACTTTCCTTATCATATTCTTTTTCTTATTGTATTATTACTAAAATTGTTTTTCTATTATGATTAGAATTCTCTCATGCAATCTCTATAAATAGAAATTTACCAGAGTAAGTATCCTTCAATATTCAATGAGATCAATTGTTATTGTATATATATAAATACCTTACAAGCCCTAGTACATTAAAATGGGAGTGATTTCCTACCATAAACTACATCAACAAAAATTGGAAATTCGTTAGAAATTACATCATATTATTTTTTTTTATAGAAATCATCCTAAATAGTACTAAAACATAGAAAAAAAGTATCAAAATAGGACTTTCATGTTTTTTCTCGAAATATGACTTTGTATTATGGTAATGTGACTTTGTCCTGTTGTAATGTTGCAGTGTACATGTGTAAATTACCATACTTTTTTGGTAATGTATATGACCATGTATGGTAAGGGAAAAAGACAAAAGTCCTATTTCAGGAATAAAAACATGGAAATCCTATTTTGGTATATTTTCAATGTTTTAGTCATACTTTTGTCTTTTTCCCTTACCTATTTTTATGACTAGCTTACGCTAGTTTTTTTCTAATATTTTCCCTATTTGCTATTAGCATCAGAGGTAAGTATTTTGAAAAGATTATTTGATGGTAGCTTTTAGCTATACCATTAATTTTTTTACGCTAATCGAACACATTGTTCCCACATTATAGTTGTGAACCACATGTTACGTACTACCTCTGTTTTTGAATATTTGTCTAGTTTTAACTTTTTTCAGTCAATCATTTTCAATATTTGATATACAGTTAAATAAAATATTTGATATATTTTTTTCCTTAAAAAAAATATATATTTTTTTATATTAATTAGAAAAAATAATATTTTGAAAACATTCTATAAAAAAATCTAATAAAATTATTTTGTATCAATATCTAATATCACTTTTATTAAATTTGAGGTCAAATTTTATCAATTTTGACAAGAAAACAAAAATGGACAGATACTTAAGGAGGGATTTATTAGAGAACAGTACTAATTAATTAAATTCTTATACAAACTAACATTTTGGGTTCATTTGTAATTGATGTTTGCAATTAACATAAAAATGATTATTTTAACATTGCATTTTAACTTCATAAACGTTACATTAAAACAAAGATATAAAAACAAGACTCTAATCTGTAAGAAGTTGTCATGTGACCTTAAATTACTTATGTGAACATTTTTTTGTACTTAATAAAATTTATTTCAACTCTATTCAAATGCGACAATATATGATTCAATTTCCTTAATTATATTTTCTACTACTAATACCTATATTTTCTATCCATTGCTCCGCTTTTTTCTCATTCTAAATAAATTTTAAACAAATATATACTCCGTATTTAATAAAACAAGGAATGTACATAATGTTTATTAAACTGGAAAATTTTAATAAAATTTTTTATTACTTGTAAGGAAAAGTTTAATAAGAAAAACATCATATGGGTTGATATATCCCATATGCAAGTTCTTTAGTTTTTTAAGGTTCACACTCTTTTTATGGATCCAAATATACAAATAATACAGATGAATTGGGCTCTTTAAAAAAAAATAAAAGATCTTATACCAGCTTATAAAAATTTTGAAAAAGTCTACATTTTATGTCGAGCTTAAAATTATGGAAGCACATGTAATTCTATTTCATAATGTGTTTCATAATAATTACATTTTCTATAAATGTATATTTTTGAGTTGATTTACATTGTCATAAGAAGATTGTATTTGAATGTTTTTAATATATAAACCTATAAAATTAGGGGAACATAACTAAAGCTTCTATGAAGATGATTCAAACTTTGTTATAAGATTTTGCATTCCTACATCACGATACCGATATTATTTTAATATTTCTTCCGTCCCATAAATTTTTTCAAATTGAAAAAAATACATTTCTTAAAAATAAGTAATTTTTATACTACGTATTATTTTATAATATAACTTATCTTTTCGATCTTACATTTATATACTACCTTATTACAAAGTAAAGGCAAAATTAAAATATAATACCAAATCCACACATTTTAAGGGTCCATCTTTTTCTGTTTTTGAAAAGTTTTAAGCCACCGAGTAAGGCTCCGTTCCTTTCAACTTATTTTTTCTAATCTGATCTGATTTTTTGTAGTTCTTATCTAATCTCATCTGATCTGATTGGATCTGATGAAATCTGATCTGATCTGATTGGATCTGATGAAATCTGATCTGATCAATCATGATTTGATTTAAGATTCAAATCAATAATTTGACTTGACTTTATAATAATGTTTGAAAATTGTAATGATAATTCATATTATAATATAATCAATATTTTTATTTGATAATTATTTTTTAATAAAATAAAATTAATTAATTCATATATTAGAATAATCATTCATATTATAATGTAATATTTTTTATTTTATGATTATTTTTTGTGAAATTAGAATATTAATTTAATATTTTAACAATTACTTCGTATATACATTAGAATAAATATTTAATTTATATATATACATTAAAAAGTAATTAAATTTAGATAATCAATATATAGAAGAGAGTATTTTTATTAAAACAATTTTTCTGTTTGGATAGAAAACAAATTTTCTTGAGATGGAAAACAATTTTTCTTGTTTGGATAGAGAGAAAAAGAAAAGAAAATGAGAATACAAAATATACTAAGAGGAGGGAAAATCAAATTCCTCCCATCTTGGTGAGGAAAATGAAAGAAAATTATTTTCTTTTCTTTTCTTC